TCTTGTCATCCAAATTTTATTCTGTAGATTTACAGGCAGACAGAAAATAGACTTCCCATGGGAAAATGTAGACACTGGATGGATAGATGGATGGATAGATAGATAGATAGATAGATAGGTAGAAAGAATGAATTTTTGAGGGGCTCCTGCTATACATGCTGCTCTAGAACTTTTGATCCCTTCCCTCTTGAAACAATAATCCTGCCTTTCTTGTGCTGATGATCATGGGACTCTTCTGGAGTTTGGCCGACTAGAATCACACCAGCCATAAATGGTTCTTTCTCATCCAGGTAGGATAGATGGTACCATCTAATTAGATCTTTGTGATTCTAAAATATATGCCACCTCCCACTTTTTATTTGGATGGGTGAGTGGGTGGGGTGTCTAGTTTATCCTGTCTCTCTTTCCCCCCGCCCCCCACTTTGTTTTTGGCCTCACCGTGTGGCATGCGGAACTTTCCTGACCAGGGATGGAACCCTCGCCCCCTGCAGTGGAAGCGTGGAGTCTTTGCACAGCTTGTGGGAATCTCAGTTCCCTGACCAGGGATTGAACCTGGGCCATGGCAGTGAAAGCCCAGAATCCTAACCACTAGGCCACCAGGGAACTCCCAGTTTATCCTGTCTTTTAAGGAAGTGCTTCCCACCTGGGGGCCAAGGGACTCAAGGCTTGCCCTTGCAGCCGGCAGGAAGCTCTGCCTTAGGGAGACCATTCTAGTGGCATAGTTTTCAGGGGGAGGAAGCTGCTTACAGAGGTGGATCAGTCCAGCACAAAGCACCTGCAGTTCCACAACTGAGGCAGAGTGTTTGGAAAAGGTAGATGACATGTTTTCCTTTATTGGCATTTTTAATTTGTTTTAAATTTAAAAGTAACATGTGGTTATTGAAAAAAGAAATTTCAAACAATACACAGGTATATAAAGTAAAAAGTCCATTCCCCTTTGGTTTCCCGTTTCCCCATCCCTCCCCCTAGTAAACATTTTCCATCCGAACTCTATTCTGTATATTTACAGACAGACAGACAGACAGGAAATAGACTTTCCATGGGAACATCTAGCTGTTGGATGGATGGATAGATGGATGGATAGATAGATAGGATGAGTGAATGAATGAATGAATTTTTTAAGGGGCTCCTACTCTACATGCTTTTCTAGAACTTGCTTTTTCACCTAATCATGGCCATGAATAAATGTGTTTTCAGGACAATACGAATTGCTCTACCATGTTCTTTTTAATGACTGCATAGAGTTCCTTCCCAGGGTAGCTCATAGTCTGTGGTCTATTTAACCATTCCCTATTGGTGTATATTTGGATTGTTTCCGAAATTTTACTGTCATAAATAGAGTTGCTGAATAACTTCTACCTTTATCCATGCTCACTTGAGTTGATATTTCTTTTTTTTTTTTGGCTGTGTTGGGTCTTTGTTGCTGTGCGTGGGCTTTCTCTAGTTGCAGCAAGTGGGGGCTGCTCTTCCTTGTGGTGCGCGGGCTACTCAGTGTGGTGGCTTCTCTTGTTGTGGAGCATGGGCTCTAGGTGCACAGACTTCAGTAGTTGTGGCGTGAGGGCTCAGTAGTTGTGGCTCGTGGGCTCTAGAGCACAGGCTCAGGAGTTGTTGCGCACGGGCTTAGTTGCTCCGTGACGTGGGATCTTCCCAGACCAGGGCTCGAACCCGTGTCCCCTGCATTGGCAGGCGGATTTTTAACCACTGTGCCACCAGGGAAGTCCTTGAGTTGTTATTTCTGGGTAGATTTCCATAGTAGGATTGAGGGAATAAAGGGTTTGTACATTTCACAAATTGCCAAACTGCTCTCTAAAAAGATCCCACCAGAGACTCCCCTGGTGGCACAGTGGTTAAGAATCCACCTGTCAATGCAGGGGAGCCCTGGTCTGGGAAGATCCCACGTGTCGCAGAGCAACTAAGCCCGTGTGCCATAACTACTGAGCCTGTACTCTAGAGCCTGCGTGCCTAGAGCCTGTGCTCTGCAACAATAGAAGCCACCGCAATGAGAAGCCTGCGCACTGCAATGAAGAGTAGCCCCCGCTCGCTGCAACTAGAGAAAGCCCGTGTGCAGCAGCAAAGACCCAACGCAGCCAAAAATGAATACATAAATAAATTTAAAAAATAAAATAAAATAAAAAGATCCCACCAACTGATACTCCCACCAAGAGAATGTAAGAGGGCTGGTTTCCCCATACTCACCCAGCTCTGGGTGAGCCTTTCGATTTTTGTTGCCTATCTGAAAGGCGGCATAAGGAGTTTTCTTCAACTTACCTTAGAAAGGCTGTAAACTAAGAGGCAGCTGTAATTCTGTAGTTGGTGGTTGTGGAGAAGAGATGTAATCATCTCTTTGAAGACCCCCCTCACCTCTGTCACCTCTTATTTGTAAGGTGACAGTTGTCCCTTTCCCATGGAAAGTAAGCCCAGAGGACAGAGTTTTGCAAATATCTGGCGACTGTTTCCACCTCTCCTGCCCACAGTCAGCCAAGCACTAGGCAACCCTTGGTGAGAGCAGATGGTCAGCATAGGCATGTCCTGACAGGTAATCCTATCCCTGCATCCCAACCCCCTGCAACTAATGGAGGGCCCCCCACCTGCTCTGTCTGTTCCTAGCCTCATGGCTGATCTTTCCTGGACATTTGATCTAGAGATTTTTCCATAGGAAGAAGAGCAAGTGGCAAGGGTACCGTGGAGAGGAGGCCAGATAATAGTCATGAGAAACATTTGTGAGTCTTCGTGGAGCAGCCATGCTTAGACATTGTGGTTTGAAAACCTCGTGGGTTTCTCAGAAGGTGGGTCTGAGGGCTACTGGTCATGATCAAGGAAAGACTGTTGGAGCCTTGTCCCAGATGCTGTTGTCTTGGGCACTCTTTCTGCAACTTCCAGACATCATCAGGAAGGGAACTAGAAATAATCATCTATGCATTAAATGGTGCATCTGGAAGGGAACTTGACACTATCACTTCCTGTGTTTTGTTTTCTATTTTACTTTTTTAAATGAAAAATTTCAAACCTATAGAAAAATAGAATAATGTAATGAACACTTACACACCCACCACCTGAAATTAGTATTAATGGCTGCTGTTTGCTGTATCTAATTTTATGCTATATACTTTACAGGAAATTACAGATAATTACGACTTTTTACCCTTAAATACATCTCTAAACATTAAGTTCCTATGATTTAAATGTTAAAAAACTTTTTTGGGGGTGTGGGCCATGCTGCACAGCTTGCGGGATCTTAGTTCCCCCACCGGGGATCAAATCTGGGTGGGCCCACGGCAGTGGACTGCCAGGGAATTCCCAAGTTCCTGTGATTTTAAAAGCTCTTCTTTTTTAAAGCAGCAGAACCATTTTATTAAATGAAATATTCTGTGCATGTCCAACAGATGGAGTTGTGCTTGAGACATATCCAAGTGGAGATTTCAAGTAGGCAGTTGACCGTGTGTGTCTGGAGCTCTGGACAGAAGTAGGAAGTGGAGATATGGGTTTGGGCTATGTTTAAAGCCATAGGACTAAATGAGGTCAGGAAGAGAGTGAGTGGAGAGAGCAGGAGGAGAGGAGGCCCCAGGCACTCCAGCATTGGAGAGAAGCCAGCAGAGGAGGCCAAGAGAGTGGCCTGTGGAGTGAGAGAAGCAGGACGAAGAGTGTCTCTGGGGCCAAAAGAAGAAAGTGTTTCAAGAAAGAGGGAGTGGTCAGCTGTGCCTGCTGTTGAGAGACTGAGTAAGCTGAGGGCAGAGAACTGACCATTAAATTTAGTACAGATGGGGAACCAAGGCCCAGAAAAGGGTAAAGTGAGAACTAGAAGCACCCATCTAACATATAGACCTCACAGATTACAGATGAGGAAACTGAGGACCACAGAAGGAGGGTGACTTGCCTGAGATCACACAGTGAGTTAAATGGCAGAGCTGGGACTAGAGCCCAGGCCCCTTGGTGCCCCCAAGGGTGGACTTGACCTACCTAACATCAGCCTTCTCCCTCAGGCCTCAAGCTGGATCCTCAGGCCTCAGTTTCTTGCTGGTAATTCCTTTGCAGAGGATTACCAAATACCCATTGCTGCTGCAGAAAATTCTGGAGAACACACTCCCTGATGCCAGTGCCTACCCTGTCCTTCAGAGGGCTACCTCTGCCCTCCAGGACGTGGTCACCAACATCAATGAGTACAAGAGGCGCAAAGAAGTGGGTAAGGACTTGGGGCATTTAGGCGATACATGAGTGAGAATGCTTCTAGTTACAAAAAACTTATCTCAAACCGGCTTCACCAGTAAAGGGAATATAGTAGCTCATGTAATAACCCACAAGTCCAGAAGTAATGTGGGCTTTAAGTAGGGTTTGAGCAGTGTGCTGGCATCATTTCCCTGCAATTCTCTTGTCTCTGGCCTTTAATATGTGTCACCTTCCTTTTCAGGCTGGCCTCTCTCATAATAGTAAAGGGCTATTGCTGTCCTAAGACTCACATCTGCACACCACATTCTCCAGGATAAGATGGGCCCTTTCTCCCCTTAGCTGTAAAAACTAAATTGGAGTTTCACTCTGATAGGATTCATTTGAGTCATATGCTCACCCTGAACCAGTTGCCATGGTTAGGGGAATGCCATGAACTGATTGGCTTCAGCCTGGGTTATGTGCCCTTCTTTGAACCTATCACTGTGGCAGGGGATGGGATTGTGTGAATTGGCTTATAACAGTCAGCACCCACCCCTTGAACTAAAGTGGAATCAATCTTATCTAAACCACATGTCTGCTATACTAAGCAGAAATGAATACTGGGGAGGCAAAGAGCTGTGTATTTATCAGGGGTGAGGGTAAGAGGAGAAAGTGGGGAGGTTGCTGCCTCTGAAGTTGTTAAAACAGAAAGGTCTGGAAAGTGAAGCAGTGTCCCAAGTAGATGAAAAACTCAGTTGCACAACTCAGACCGTATAGTAATGATAATTTAGCTAATGTTTACTAAAGGCTAACTATGACATGTTTTTTTCACTCATTATCTTGTTTGATCCTTACGATAGCCCTGAGGTTGGCAATGTTAGCCCCATTTCACAGTTGGGTAAAATGAGAGCTAAGTCATTTGCTCCAGACCTATCATCTTATGTGATCTCCTAGCAATCCTGTGGGGTAGCTAGCCTCATTTACAGATGAGAAAACTGAGGCCTAAGAAGTCAAGCAGGCAGGAAGCTCTTCAGTCAGGGTGCTCACATCAGAGTGAGGGCTCTGAGCCCTGCGCTTTTCCTCCGAGATTCACCATTCTAAATGGCGTGACTCTGACATTTGAGGAGAGGGCCCAAGAGACGCCTTGCCAGGTATGTCAGGGGCTCTTGCTTTCCCGGGTCAGCTCTGGTTCCTGTGCCCTCCTTCTCTTCTGTTGGTGCAGCCTCCAAGTACACCAAGGTGGAGCATCTGAGCCTCCGGGAGCGACTGGCCCGCATCAATATGCACACCCTTTCCAAGAAGACCACCCGGCTGAGCCAGCTGCTGAAGCAGGAGGCGGGGCTCGTACCCAAGGTGAGCACGGACAGGAGGAAGGGTGGTATCCCAGCCATCCCAAGGGGCAAGACTGTGCAGTGCGGGGTCTTAGACTCCTTTCGGAGATGAGGAAACTGAGGCTGAGGGAGTGAACTTCCAGCATGCATAGCCAGGACGAGGCAGAGTAGGCGCCGCCACTTGATTCTGGAGAGCCAGGGTGGGGCTTTCTCCTCTGCATCTTGTGCTGCTCTTTCTCTGGGGTCTCTTGATACAGATAGGAGATGTCTGGGTCTGGGCAAGGAACCAGCCTTGAATAGGTACTAGTAGCAGCTCAGGTGGATTGAGTACTTACTCTGAACCAGGCATTAATGGATCCACACAATGAAGTAAGTTCATACTATTCCCATATTGCAGATGAGGAAACAGGCTCAAAGAGAGTAAAACACTTGTCTAAGTTCACACAACCAGGAAGCAAGTGAACCAGGACTCACGGGCTCTTGTGTCTGATTCCATTGTCTGAATACAGAACCACCAAGCTGCACTTACTGCCTCTAACTGTCCCACTCAGTTTTGGGGCTGGAGGAACTGGCTCTGAGGGGTGGGTCTGTGGAAAGGTGGTCCCTGGTAAGGACTTGGGAAATGGGTGTACACTGGCCCCATGTGGATGTTCTCGCCCTCATAAGCATAACTTTACTCTCAGACAGAAGACAAGGAATTTCATGACTTAGAAGAGAGTTTCCACTGGGTGTCACTGTGTGTGACCGAGCTGAAGAACAATGTGGCTGCGTACCTGGATAATTTGGAGGTGAGGATCCTGTGGTTAATAGTGTGTAGGGTGGGGCAGGGCTGGGATCCCTGGGCAGGAGTCATGCAGGGCCCATTGAACAAGCTGACAAAGACACCAACTTCAGGAACCAAATGGAAGAGGTCATACAGTTGCTGGCTGGAGGTCAGAAGAGGGGCCGTTCGCAAGCACTCCTCAGCCCACAGGTCATCTGACTGCGGCACCTTCTGAGTTCATTGAGTTCTCAGCGGGGCCGTGTTCTCACTGGGTAGGGTCAGAATTCACTGGAATCAGAGCCCTCTGGAGGGAGAGCAGGGGTGACAAACACAGGTGCTCAAAGGGACCAGGCAGGTAATATTGTTGACTGAAGTGTGCAGGTGTATAAGGCCTATTGTCTATTTATGAGACTTTTTTGGTAGAGTTCAGTATGTAGTAATAGTTGGAGTGTGAATGACCAAATAAATGAATGAATGGATAAAATGAAAGGGGTGACATATTCCTTGGCTCACAGGAGTTGTTACTGTGCGGGAATGTGGACCCAGTGCTGCCAGTTCTTCTGATTTTAAGGAAGAAGAAAACTGGAAATTCAGACCTTTAGGTGAAATCTCACCATGTGTTCATGTGAGCAGCTAATTAAATATGAACTTAAATGTTATGTGGGCCCAAGAAAATATATTTCTGCAAACCACATTCAGCCCACAGGGACACTAGTTTGCATTCCCATCCAGCACATCACTTTCCTTTCACCAAAATTCCCCCTTCATTCTTGTCATGGATGCTGACTCATTCCATCCACTCTGTCCCTTTTGCATGGTTTTGTTCTCAATCACATCCATTTGCACAAACCAGCTCAGTCAGACGATAACAGGCTCTTTGGATGATAGGATTTGGGGTGGCATTATTGGAAGTATGTAGAAGGAGGGAGGTTGTAGTTCTTTGCTCCTCACTGTGGGGCACATTCCCTGCTTGTTCCTGCTCCATCTTGGGCCCCCCAGAGGAAAGATCTGGACAGCACAGTGAGGCAGAAGAGGAAGGCCCTCAGAGAAAGAATGGAGGGGCCCTGAAAGAGAGAAACCAGAGGCCCATGAGAGACACATCTGGCTTTGCAGAGTAGAACAGATATTTGGAAGCATTAAGGCTGTATTTCCGTAAATGCAGGACTTACACGACGGATACAGTGTTGACATGGAATCCCACAGTGAGAAAATGACTCTCTCTTTTAATCCTCAGAGTCCAGGAAAAGCCTCTTTTTCTGACATGTCTTAAATAAACAGGCAGAACAAGTCTCCGGCTGGAAACCTTCATCAGGCCATCACGCCCAGACAGAACTTAATAGCATTGTTTTTATAGCAGTTATTCTTACATGCTTATTTATGGCAATTATTACTGGCTTTCCCTTTATGGGAATATCATAAGGTGGTTTTTTTTTTGGCCGTGCCATGCGGCTTGCAGGATCTTAGTTTCCCGACCAGGGATTGAACCCAGGCCCTCGGCAGTGAAAGCACAAAGTCCTAACCACTGAACCACCAGGTAATTCCCCATAAGGTGGTTTTTCTTAATGCATTGATTTAAATAGGGATGCTAGGTTGATTTAAGGAAAAATATTGTTTTTGAATTTTATTTTATTTTTTTATACAGCAGGTTCTTATTAGTTATCTATTTTATACATATTAGCGTATACATGTCAATCCCAATCTCCCAATTCATCACACCATCACCCCCACCACTTTCCCCCCTTGGTGTCCATGCGTTTGTTCTCTACATCTGTGTCTCTGTTTCTGCCCTGCAAACCGGTTCATCTGTACCATTTTTCTAGGTTCCACATATATGTTAATATACGATATTTGTTTTTCTTTCTGACTTACTCTGTATGACAGTCTCTAGATCCATCCATGTCTCTACAAATGACCCAATTTCATTTAAGGAAAAATATTAATAGAACTCGAGGAACATGGACATGGCAAAAAAAATCACAAAGGAGATATGCAAATGTGTGAAGTTGAGGCAGCACTGAATAGGGAGAAAGATGTTGGCTCAGTCTAAGGAGGAACTTTCTAATCACCTAAGTTGTGCAAGGATAGAATAGGCTGTGTGCAGACACAGGGAGGGTGTGCAGACAGCCTGGGCACTTCTTCCGGTCTGTGGTGGAGGGGGATTCAGGTGTAAGATGGTGACGACGGGACATGATTGGCTCTCTCATTTGACCCCATCTAGGCTTTCCTCCGCTTCCGGCCCCAGGAATACGATCTGGACATCCCTGGGGGCCCTGTGGTGCAGTACTGTTACCTGGCAAGAGACCTGCAGCTCCAGGCCTTCCCTGAGTTTGTGAGCGGAACTTCTCCTTTCTTTTTTTAGGCAGGTGGCAGAGCCTATAAGAATAATATTTAGAAGCCAGGCCTTTTCCACTACTGTCACATCCATAACAGTCCTGGGTAGTCAGCAGGGCAGAGATTATTATTAGTGCATTTTCCTGATGAAAATAGCCCCAGCTAACGTTTACTGACCCTTGTTATCTGCCAAGCACTGTGCTAAACTCTACATTCTTTCCCTCATTTAATCCTCACAACACAGCTTACAGGGTAGATATTATTAATAGCTCCATTCTGCAGATGAGAGCTTGAGGCTCAGAGAGGGTGACCTCCCAGGTTATTCAGATGGTCAATGGCAAGGATCTGTGCCCCAAGAACTATGCTTTTGACCACCATTCCATACAAAATTTTTCAACATCTGTGCACAGTAACTGTATTAAGAAGTGACATATATATTGAATACTTATTCTGTGCTAGGCACTCTGCTAAGCTTGTTACATACATTGTCCCTATTTTTCAGATGGGCACATTGAGGCCTAGGAAGGTTAGATGTCGTGCTAGAGGTCACAGCTGGTCAGTGAGGGTGGAACTGGAGCCCAGTCCTGCCACATCCAAAGCCCCTTCTCCCTGTGCCCCGCCCTCTGCCACCTCCTTCCTCAACTCCCAAGTTTACCTCTCCCCACAGAAGCAGCGGCTGGAAGCCCTGGTGTGGCAGCCATTGTGCAGCCTGGCCAAAGCCTTGGCCGGGCCTCAGAATCTGATCAAGAAGCGTCTGGACAAACTACTGGACTTTGAGAGGGTGGAAGAGAAGCTGTTGGAGGTGGGCAGCATGACCTATGAGGAAGAGGCGGCCCGGCACATGTACGAGGCACTCAACTCCCTGCTAGTGGCTGAGCTCCCACAGTTTAAGCAGCTGGCCATGCGGTGGCTGGGACAGATCCTGTGCACATTTGTGACCCTCCAGAGGGACCTTGCAAAGCAAGTGCTGCAGAGGGCAGAGGGCAGCTTGGCCCAGGTAAGGCCTCTGGGACTGGGGTGCCCCTAGGGTATAGCCAAGCAGGGCCTGGTTGCCCCTTCAGCTAGCTGTTTGCAGGGGCTGGTCTGGGCCTTCCAACAGGTGCTTAGGAGGAGGTTGTGGGGACCTTCTGGATCTCTCTTATGCCTGTTCTCCCTCCATTAATAGAGTCAGATCATGAAAGCAAGGGTGGAACTGGGACTCCAGGCCACTCTCAGGCTCTGGGACTCAGAAGCACAGGAGACTCTGCTGGGAAAATACAGGCCTTGGGGCCACTCCCTGGAGTGTATTAGAAGTAGGTAACAGACGGGACTTCCCTGATGGTGCAGTCGTTAAGAATCTGCCTGCCAATGCAGGGGACACGGGTTTAAGCCCTGGTCCGGGAGGATACCACATGCCGCGGAGCAACTAAGCCCGCGTGCCACAACTACTGAAGCCTGTGCGCTTGGAGTCCGTGCTCCACAACAAGAGAAGCCACCGCAATGAGAAGCCTGCACACTGCAGCGAAGAGTAGTCCCTGCTCGTCGCAACTAGAGAAAGCCCGCGCACAGCAACGGAGACCAAATGCAGCCAAAACAAAACAAAACAAAACAAAAAGAAGGAGGTAACAGAGAAGACAGGGTCCTTTCTACACAGTCAGGAGTAAATGTCTCAAGCTCTGCTCCTGCCACTGTTACTACTTCTAGCAGCTGCCTCCTTGTGAGCCCTTATGGTGCATCTGTTTGGAACACTTTCCATATATTGTCTCACTTAATCCTCACAATAACCCTACAGAATAGGTATTATTATTATTCTCATTTCAAAAGGAAGCCAGGGCACGGAGGTTAAGCAGCTTGCCCAAAGGCACACAGCTAATAGCTCAGTTTGAATCCTGGCAGTTCAACTCCAGAGCCTGGGCTCTGAACCATAGCGCCTGACCGCCTGTAAAAGGAGCTGTCTGCTGAAAGCATAAGTAGGTCACAAAGAGGTTTAGACAAATCTCCAAGTGCAAACTTTGATTTTAGAATTTTGAAGATTGGGTTGGTATAGGAAAGAACTCTTAAATCTCTCTCTGATATCAACATCAGAGCTTAATGGCCTGTGGATCTAAGCTCTGGAGAAATTTCGGTACTGCTCATACCACATGCTGTCTCCTGTGCTTCATGTGCCCCAGCTCAGCTTTTCCCATCCAATCTGTTGCAAAAAAATTCCTCTAAAATTTGCCACCCACCCCCATCACTACCTTTACAGCCCATAGTCCCACTCTGCATCTGCAGCCTCCACTTCCAGTGCACCACTTCTGAGTGTGACCACGGTCCCTTTGCACAGACTCCTTCTTCAGCCTGGAATGTCCCTCCCTGTTGCCCCCATGCCTTTCGCAGTGCCTGGCCTATGGTGGGGCCTGCCCAAATATGAGACAAGTGAATGAATCTCTCCATGAAGCTCTCAGAATCCCCCTCCTCCAGGTGGGAGAACCCACCTCCCCATCCTCTGTACCCCAGCAGCCCTTAAGATGTGCTTCTGCTAAGCACTTATCAGAGCCTGCCTCCTGCTGGCCTGATGGATGAAGCCGGTTCCCCTCATTGAGCTTTTCTTCTTTGGCCCTCACAGCATTTAGTACAGAGTTCTGTCTCAGACACTCTTTTTGAATTAAGCCTGAACCATCTGCAAAAAGAAACATTGCTCTTTCCTGAAGGCAGAGGGTAAATTTGCTTAGATGATCTTTTCATTCTTCTCTCACCCTCTAGTTTTCTGTCCAGGGGAAGTCAACTTCGTAAGAGCAGAAAGAGGGCATTTCTTTTTTTCTTTTTCTTTCTTTTGGGGGGTGGGGTGGGGCTGCATCGTGTAGCATGCGGGGTCTTAGTTCCCCGACCAGGGATTGAACCCGTGCCCCCTGCATTGGGAGCACTGAGTCTTAAACTCTGGACCGCCAGGGAAGTCCCAGAAAGAGGACATTTCTTGATTGATCCTGTAATACAGAATCTTAGGGCCTGTCAATGATTGATGCCAGCTTCCTGTGTGTGTCGCATGGCCCATTCACCTGGACAGTCCTGTGGAGCCTGGGAAAGGCCCACATGGTAGAACCTCAATCTGTCTTCATCCTGGGGGTAGAGGAAAGGCTCTGAGCTAGAATGAAGCGTGGTGATTTTGGCGACCAGCAGAGAGGACATGTCTCTGTTAGCTGTGGGGCCCTGGTCACTCCTAGGCTGTCTGATGAGAATGCAGGAGATGACCAACAGGGCCAACGTCCCGGGATGCACCATCATTCAGAGCTCCTCGGGTTCCAAACCAGCTCAGGCATAAAGACCTGTATAACTGGGAGGCCAAGGAGGGGATCAAGCCTCGGGCCCAGCAGTCAGTGTTGCCTAGCTGCAGTCAGTGTTGTCGAAGCTCTGACTTTCACTCCATCTCCTGGCTGTTTCCCTCTCTGGGTTGGCTTTATTGTCAAGCAGGCCTTTTCTGCAAAGTTGGAGAGAGTGGCTCCCAACAGCTCTAAGCGTTTACCTTTACATCTCAGAATCCAAGAGTCACCCTCTCATTCTCAGCCTTCATGTACTAAATCTGATGGGAGTGGGAGTTAGGGATTGACATGTACACAGTGGTATATTTAAAATAGATAACCAACAAGGACCTACTGTAAAAAATAAAATTAAAATTAAAAAGTAAAAAATAGGGCTTCCCTGGTGGCGTAGTGGTTGGGAGTCCGCCTGCCGATGCAGGGGACACGGGTTCGTGCCCATCATGGAGTGTTCATGTCAAGAAGTTAGAACAGTATAAACCAATGGAAGTTGGAGGAAGGAATAATGAAAATTATATAGATTGGATCACAAACCCAAAAGCTGGTTCTGGAATCATCACTGAAGTTGAAATAGCAATTAAAAATCAGCTCTCTGCCAAAGGGAACCTTCATACACTGTTGATGGGAATGTAAATTGGTGCAGCCACTGTGGAAAAC